TAAATAGAAATGAGTTTTCCAAATGCAAAACATTCAAATATAACGCGTAAACTTTCGCAACTGCGACCGATGTTTATAAATTGTTAACGAGTATTGTTGCCTAAAGAATTTGCGGACTTATCATAACGTGTTTAATGTCCTTTTAAAGGTGCCACCTGTTCTTTCTCTATATCCTATTGCATAAAAAGTTAAGTTACGTCTTAACTAGAGCAGTACAAGTCGCTAAAAACCGAGCTCCGGTTTTAAAGAGGAACCTAAAAATTTAAAACAATCAAAAATTTAATAGACAGTGAAAACGTGTTCTCGGGCCTTTTCGTGCGCAAACGCAAAAGCACCAGCGCTGCTGCGTGTTTTGCCTGTTTTCTTGCCAATCGGGTTATTATCTTACGGTAAACTAACTTTAAAATGCAAACGAATGCGCACTACTTTTGTGATAGCATAGTTCTATTGAAGATGAGGATGGAGATTCACAGCAGTGTAGCTGTGTCTTGTTGTGGGTATTACTCAGTAACTTGATTTCTTTGTATAACTGGCAAAATGGAAGTAAAATTTATTATAGAGAGTAAACGTGAATAGAATTTCAATTATTCAGAATCGATAACGATGATCAGGAATGATTTTGTTTCAGACTCTTTGTGTCCAACCCGAGAGTTCAAGACATATTTCCCGCCTTTACGAGTTTGAAACTTGAAGCCGTAATCAATTCTCGATCTCTGTATCTTCAAGTCAGACAAGTCATGACTGTGCTGGAAAATGCTGTGTTTTCTTTAAACGACGCAGAGGTTTTCATCGAGTATTTAATGAATTTGGGAGAAAGACATAAAGCATGGCCCGTGAGGCTGGAGCATTTCGACGTATGTATTCTATTATGCCCATCAAGGCTACTTAGGGGTACGTATTGTTGTATAGCGCTGTATTGTGATGTAAATTACAGTAGCAGGAAGTGTAGTGCAAACAAGGGGTACATATTTAACAATTGGTTCTCAAAAAGCTAAAGTTGCTCTCGGCTACGCCTCGAGCAACTCTTACGCATCATTCGTGCTCTCCAAACTTCCTGCGTGCTTCATACCTCGATGAACGCACAGCTGACGTATGAACCAATTGTTTTATAACATTTTCAACCCGATGGAAAATTTTTTTCTCGCGGAATTTGTTTGCTGACGTCCTGAGCGTGCACAATAGGAATATGAAGCACACTCGTGCAATTGAATTTGATAAGACAAATTTATTAGCTATGTTATAATATTGCTTATGATCCATCGAATAATTTTGCTCGCGCGCGATTGGCCTAAACGCAGTAAGTGACTAAATATCCCCCGGCTAAAACTAGGTGTATCCAAGTAAATCACCTAAACGATATTCCCCAATTTGCAGACCTTGCGTCCACCACGATAAGTCTTCATCTCAAAATTAATGCAATTCAGGGTAATTAGGTATTATTAACTGAATCGATAACGTAAATTGCCCACCGTAAAGAGTTTAAAAGCTCACGTTTCGAGCGTTTGCCCTTTGCAATCACTCTGACGAAGGGCTCACGCTCGAAACGTCAGTTTTTAAACTCATTGCGGCGGCCAATTTACGTTATCAACTCAGTTGATAATACTAAATTACCATGTTATACTCTCCCACCGACGCAGCACCACAGTTTTTTTAGAAACTTAACCTTTTCTTAGTTCAATCCAGTAAGCTGTTCATTAACATTTTTCACGTGCGTTGCAAAATACTTAAAGGATAAAAAACACAATGGCGTCTATTTTTGCGCGAAAATATGTACGGAAATTTGTCCTTGGATATTATCTGTTCCTCGAAGCTCACAGTTTCCGCATCTTGGAACAGAAAATTCGAGAAAATGACTGCGGACAAATATCCGCACTTATTTTGGCGCCAAATTGGAGCAATTGTTTATATAGCGCTGTATGGTGATTTAAAATTCAGTAGAGGGAAGCATAGTGCTATCTAGGTGGTACATATTGTTGTGAAACGTTGTCTAGTTACTGCATTTTACGGATTTACAGTGCTACTCAGGGGTATAATGTTGTATTGTGCTATATGATGATAAAACTTGCAGTACAGGGATGTATAGGGACGGGGAAGAGGGGCATATCATGGAGTGCGTATTCGAGGAGACAAGGAGTTTAATAATCGACGGAACGTGTTTGCTCATAATGAATCTCTCAAGTTGTCATCGGCTATCTCTCTAAGCACTATTGTAACTTATCCTTTCTTAATTATTGTTTTGTCAAAACTCTTCTTCAGGGTCTTCTCTGCGTCTACATCCGTGGTGGCGGCTACCGACTCGGTAGAGTCCGGCTGTGGATTGGCCTGCCGCCATCTTGGATTCGCATTGTAGGTGGACCCTGGGCGAGAGTTTGACCCATTCCCAATCAGATGATAGAAGAGGCCTTAATTTGGACATTGAGGGACTCGTTTCCAACAAAATGCACCGATTATGTCGCCGAGACTTGGAGGGAGCTCTTCCGCTTTATAACTGCTATTATGATGAGAGGACTGAGGAGAGCAAGCACTGGCACCCTGTGGACTAGGAATCAATCGAAAGGAAAACTGAGATTTCACTAGAGATGACTTTAAGAGGACACCATCCCAAAGTGGACATAATACGCATGATCACAACTACTATGGGGGAGTAACGAGGTATATGAGTTGTAAGAAGCCTGACGTTGCGCGAAGATTGAGACGAGTGAAAACTGAAACAGACAAGGAGATAGTCGCGTCCTATGAAGCGCGCGGAAGAACAAAGTTGAGGGCGATAAAAGAGGTGCGCGTAAAGATGGGAATAAAGGAAAATTGCAGCGAAAAAAAATGGAAGGAACCAGAGGAAGGAGAAAAATAGAGGGATGCGCAAATATGCAAAGGTGTAAAAACTTGTGTGAGGAAAAAGATAAAAAAAGGCGCAGACATGTAACAATATGAACACGTCCGTTGGCGTTCAAAACAGTGTGGCAATACGGAGAACGATAGACAGTGAAAGAGATACAATCGAAGAGATGACGCGCTTTTGTTAAGTGAGCGGCGGCTTGAAACATGGAATTTTAGTACACTGTTAGCTGCACACATTATTAACTTGGCGCGCGGGTCAAAACAAGCATTGAAGTCCCCATAGGATCTGCTTTCTCCACATCTTACGTGCATCCTAAGAATATGGAGACAGACAATGTAAATCAACGCAGTTTTTTTTATTTTATACACTGTATATTTCTCTTACACAAACAAGTAAAAAAAGCACAATAGAAACTGCATTAAAACGTTCAAGGCATTAAGTAAAATACGAGCTAAACGGAGACGCTAAAATGAACCCATTTACTCCCAAGACTGATCATAATTTAAATTCTCCTCACGGTATTAATACACCGACAAACATGGAGTCAATAACAATTCGAGAAAATCCAAACTGGAGGATAATCTTTTCCAAGAAACATAATGTCAAATCGAATTCTCGGAACAAGCGGCAGCAAAGAGAAACACATTCTTATCAGTTGGGAGAATTTTTCTTCAGAACTTGGGAGTTCATGAGTTAATCAATATAAACTAAGGTAAATGAACAATTATCTTCAACTTAAAAAAATAGCATCAAAACACTTCACACGAAAAACACTGATATTATACAAACCATGTTTAGTTGAAACTGTCCCTGCATGTCTTTAAAATCCTAGTTACATTATATTCAACCACGCATATTATCAGACATCCTCAAATCATGCTGAGGTAAATTTAAAGCGATGAAAAAATTTCAAGAGGTGATTTTCAACAATTAGAAGTCTTATCCTGAAGCCCTGAACCTTTTCAACAACGCATTAGGTTTACATTAATTAATGAGCCTTTTCACCAAAATAATTCCCATTGAGGATTACATGGCTTACGTTAACTGCTTCTCTCATTTATGAGTGTAAATATTGTCGTACTAGAAACAACAAATTCCATGTTACATACAATAAAAGTCACACCTATGGAAACTTTAATTATAGTGAACTCTACGTCCCTCTTTCCTAGTTTAGATTACATGGACAATTTTTAGCCTCTCTGTCGTCGTTCTTTAAAACGAACGGAGAAGTGTTTGGTAAAACGGACAAAAATTGGCCAGACTCGTTTGATTGAAAACAGGGTTGAAGCCAGCTTTCTGACTAAATGTAAGCCTCTTCCCTCACAAATTTCAATTTTTAGTTTCAACATTTGCAAGAGTCATATTTTCTTTTAGTAAAAGTCAAGCGGGCAGAAAACAATTGTAGGCCGGGCCTACGGGACTAGAGGCTGGCTACACCCCTAAAAGTAGGTGTAATGTCTCTAACATATGGTTAGTAAATTTAATAACATCATCTCTGATGTTTACTTCTTCAAATTAAGCTTAGAATGGCAATCTTGGCACTGACAGAACTAGATTGCATTAAAATGGATTGAGTTCAAAATGGTAATCAATTTTTTGTAAAGATGAAGGTAAATTGTAACAAAGTAATTTATGATGTAGAAAACGGTCTAAGATCAATTCCCGTATTCAATTCACATACATATTCAATCAAAGTTATGGAAATTAAAATTCGCAAACTTTTGCAAATGACGAATTGTTTCTTTGCTTATCAAAAGCTTAGAGCATAAAGGTAATTAAAATCCTGTGGAAAAGCCCCTGGTTGGGTAAAAGAAATAACCTTTAAATTATTTTCCATACAACTGATTGTAATACAGGAACAGAGCTGAGTGACATGTTGGTGGAAATGGAAACCTCGTTCATAACAGAGGCCTCGTTGCATTTCGTTCTCTTCGCAAGCATTTAAATTTGTTAAGGTAACAAAAAATGACAATTCCACTGATCAAAATATAATTAAATAGACTGGTTTATTTCTTCACCATAGTGAAGTTGCACATCTCAAGTTCCATTTAACAAAAAAATAAAAAGTAAAGAAAAATAGCCAAAAATTGTTTCAAATAGAGAAACATTTAAACCTTCCAAGTTCCTACTTCATTCTTTTGAGATGAAAAAAAACGTTTTCTCATTTATTTGATTTTCTATTCAAATTTTCCTTTGCCATCAGGTCAAACGTGAGGTCATCTCCAATCAGCATAAAGGGCGCCCAGTATTTGATGTCATGGAACTCATCTGATTCTCTGAGGCTTTTCATGGCCAGGTTCAGTGACTTGCTTGTGGGTTTACCTTCTGCAAGGTGTTGATAAAAGCATTTCATGAACTGGAGAGTAGCCTCGTCATCAATCGCCCACAGGGACACCACAACAGACCGAGCACCAGCCCCCATAAAAGCGCGCGCAATGCCAACCACACCTTCAGCCTTGATCTCTCCCTGACCACTGTGGCAGCAACTGAGCACAACAAGTTTGGCGCGAAGTTGAACATTCAACACATCTCGAATCGTTAAAATGTAATTCTCCTTCTCCGTAGGCACAGTAGAGATTCGCTCTAAGTCAGGTGTAAGAGCAATTTCGCCAGTTTCCGCACATCCGTGTGCCGCAAAGTGAACTAAGGAAACGGAACTGAGTCTTTTCAACACCTCACGTTTCGTGGCCTGTCTGCCAGTGATTGGCGTGATATTCAGAATTTTTCCGACCATTTCTACTTCTTCTTTAGCACACGGAAGCTGCTCGAGGACTTTCTCTCCATCGCTGTTAGTAACCTCGGATACCCAGGGATCTCCTACAAGTAACGCATCACTGCTTCTGTGATAATCATCTGGGCAATCGGCAATGAGTCTAAGACTTGCTAACGATGGAGCGACTCGGATTGTAAACGATTCACACAGGTATTTAGAATTACCATCCTTCAATGCAGCGTAAGGAGCGATCCACAGGGGTCCATCAGGAATAATGAGTAGCTCATCCCCTTCAATCAAGTCAGCCACCGGCTTCATAACGATATCATACAAAGTGCTCAAGCATCCGTCTTGTTGGATGTGAGGTTGAGGGTTGGCTTCTTTGGTTTTCTCATCCACTTTTGAAGGGCCCTCCCTCAAAGCATCTAAAGATCGATTCTCGCATCTCGCATTAGAAAGAACACCAAGATGTGTATAGACACCGAGCATGAACGACTCAAAGGACTGGCTAGATTCACTATTCTCTGAAACAAAACCTTTGAGTTTACTTTGTCTTAACTGAACTTGTTTTCCTTCGGACACAACCCAAAGATTGACGTTAGCTTTGTCCACTGCCTGAAAGACAGTGTTTGATGGAACGTATTTTAAAACTGCGCAATCTTCATCTTCTCCCTTGTAGTGACTTGTTCCACCACAAAAACTGGATTCCATGAGGTCGGTCAGAGCTTGAGCTCGTCCTTTCTCAGCAACAAATAAGGCTTCATCTACATTACCTTGTTCTACGAGAACTCTCCACAAACCCGTATACGCCATTTGATGCTGATTTCGAAAATTAACTTTCCACTCATCTTTAGATTTTAGAAGTACTCTCAAGGAATTGAATAAGTTTATGCTAGCTTGGTAATGTTCAACGGCTTTTGGCAGTCCACCTCGCAACTCAAAAACGCATCCTAATGAACAGTAGGCCACTGCCTCCGAGCATCTGTCTCCTACTTCTTTAGCTATTTTAAGATGTAAGTTGTGGTACTCTATGGCTATTTTGAAATCACCCAGAGTGTGATAAGCATTGCCAAGATTGCAATAAGCACGACTCTCCCCATGCTTGTCTCCTACTTCTTTAGCTATTTTAAGCTGTAAGTTGTGGTAATCTATGGCTATTTTGAAATCACCCAGACGGTGATAAGCATTGCCAAGATTGCCATAAGCACAACCCTCCCCATGCTTGTCTCCTACTTCTTTAGCTATTTTAAGATGTAGGTTGTGGTACTCTATGGCTTTTTTGAAATCACTCAGACTGAGATAAGCATTGCCAAGATTGCCATAAACGCTACCCTCCTCATGCTTGTCCCCTACTTCTTTAGCTATTTTAAGATATAGGTTGTGGTACTCTATGGCTTTTTTGAAATCACCCAGACGGCCAAAAGAATTCCCAAGACTGCCATAAGCGGTACCCTCCCCATGCTTGTCCCCTACTTCTTTAGCTATTTTAAGATGTAGGTTGTGGTACTCTATGGCTTTTTTGAGATCACCCAGACGGTGATAAGCATTGCCAAGATTGCCATGAGCACCACCCTCCCCATGCTTGTCTCCTACTTCTTTAGCTATTTTAAGATGTAGGTTGTGGTACTTTATGGCTGTTTTTGAATCACCCAGACTGTCATAAGCACTGCCAAGATTGCCATAAGCGTTACTCTCCCCATGCTTGTCTCCTACTTTTTTAGCTATTTTAAGATGTATGTTTTGGTACTCTATGGCTTTTTTTAAATCACCCAGACGGTGATAAGCATTGCCAAGACTGCCATGAGCAACACCCTCCCCATGCTTGTCTCCTACTTTTTTAGCTATTTTAAGATGTAGGTCGTGGTACTCTATGGCTTTTTTGAAATCACCCAGACGGCCATAAGCATTGCCAAGATTGCCAGAAGCCGTACCCTCCCCATGTTTGTCTCCTACTTCTTTAGCTACGTTAAGATGTAGGTTATGGTACTCTTTGGCTTTTTTGAAATCACCAAGACAGTGATAAGCATTGCCAAGATTGCCATAAGCGTTACCCTCCCCATGCTTGTCTCCTACTTCTTTAGCTATTTTAAGATGTAGGTTGTGGTATTCTATGGCTTTTCTGAAATCACCCAGAGAGTGATAAGCATTGCCAAGATTGCCATAAGCTTTACCCTCCCCATGCTTGTCCTCTACTTTTTTAGCTATTTTAAGATGTAGGTTGTGGTACTCTATGGCTTTTTTGAAATCACCCAGACTGTTATAAGCATTTCCGAGACTGCCATAAGCACCACCCTCCCCATGCTTGTCTCCTACTTCTTTAGCTACTTTAAGATGTAGGTTGTGGTACTCTACGGCTTTTTTGAAATCACCTAGACTGTGATAAGCATTGCCAAGATTGCCATAAGCGTTACCCTCCCCATGCTTGTCTCCTATTTCTTTGGCTATTTTAAGATGTAGGTTGTGGTAGTCTATGGCTGTTTTTGAATCACCCAGACTGTCATAAGCACATCCAAGATTGCCAAAAGCCCAACCCTCCCCATACTTGTGTCCTACTTCTTTTGCTATTTTAAGAAGTAGGGTGTTGTACTCTATGGCTTTTTTGAAATCACCCAGACTGTGATAAGCATTGCCAAGATTGCCATAAGAAACAGCCTCCCCATCCTTGTGTCCTACGTCTTTAGCTACTTTAAGATGTAGGTTGTGATACTCTATGGCTTTTTTGAAATCACCCAGACTAAAATAGGCATTGCCAAGACTGCCATAAGCACCACCCTCCCCATGCTTGTCTCTTACTTCTTTAGCTATTTTAAGATGTAGGTTGTGGTACTCTATGGCTTTTTTGAAATCACCCAGACGGCCATAAGCATTGCCAAGATTGCCATAAACACCACCCTCCCCATGCTTGTCTCCTACTTCTTTAACTATTTTAAGATGTAGGTTGTGGTACTCTATGGCTTTTTTTAAATCACCGAGACGGCCATAAGCATTGCCAAGATTGCCATAAGCGTTACCCTCTCCATGCTTGTCTCCTACTTCTTTAACTATTTTAAGATTTAGGTTGTGGCACTCTATGGCCTTTTTGAAATCACCTAGACTGTGATGGGCATTGCCAAGATTGCCATAGGCAACACCCTTCACATGTTTGTCTCCTACTTCTTTAACTATTTTATGACATAGGTTGAGGTACTCTGTGGCTTTTTTTAAATCACCGAGACGGCCATAAGCATTGCCAAGATTACCATAAGCACCACCGTCCCCATGCTTGTCTCCTGCTTCTTTAACGTTTTTAAGATATAGGTTGTGGCACTCTATGGCCTTTTTTAAATCACCTAGACTGTGATAGGCATTGCCAAGATTGCCATAAGCAACACCCTTCACATGTTTTTCTCCTACTTCTTTAACTATTTTATGATATTGGTTGAGGTACTCTATGGCTTTTTCTCCCCAATTAGAGAGGTGTATGACTTTCTTGACATCACCTGAACTTGCAATACCATGGTCATGGCTAATAGGATCTTTTTCCTCCATGGACTTATCTCCCATTTCACTGACAGACTGAAGTCTTAATGACAACAAGATCCTATTGTTTTTGTCAATCTTTTTTATGTTAAGGTTAAAATATGTGGAAAAAACAAAAAGGATTATGTTTCTGATCATATTGATATGTAATATATAGTCCATTTTAACAGTTGCGTGCTTGGTTCCCAAGACTCTGAACAAGAGCGATGATTAAGAGTGACCTTGTTATGATAAAAACATTGCTGCTTTTTAAATGCAAACTACTTTGTTAGTATCGTTTCTAGATACTGGTCTCTATCACAACAAGGTCACCTTCAGCCTCACTCCAAATCAAAGGCTTAGCAACTAAGTACACAACTATAAAATGGCCCATTAGGAGGGCTTTGCATGAAAGGTAGATGATTTATCAACATTCAGTCTTAAAGTCAATTATGAAGTAAATCTACACTTCGAAAAATGTTTTTTCTGTGTGCAGCCTCAAAATTTAACGCAAAATATCTACATTTAATCCCTAGTTTCCAAAAACTGAGCAGCACTTGCTCAATTTTAAAATTAATATAGCTTTAACATCAGACGAATGTTTTACAGCAGTGGAAGAAATGAGTCTACAAGTACGTGTCTTTAAAATTTTTATTTGTCCATAGGAAATCAGGACGAAAGTTTCCGAGTCTCTAAGTAGTGGAAAAAGGTCGAAGGCAAGAAAATCTGCATAAGATATGTAAACATTACCGAGCCTTGTGGTCTCGCTTGTTTTAGAGAGATCATCTACCCAAGTACCATGTATAAACTGGATGAATATTAGTCTTCTAACCCTTTAACTCCCATGAGTGACCAAAAGAGAATTTCTCCTTACAATAGCAATACAATATCAATCAGATAAGTGTTCGGAATAAAAAAAAATATCAATTTGGGGATAATTAGTTGATCCAATACTGAATTCTCTGTACTAACATTACAAGAATTGTATGGTTGACAGTAAGGATAATTACAAATTTGTCTGGGAAAGTAAAGGGTTATTTAAACTAATGTACCAGTTATTGGCATGGATGGTAGAACTAAGTCAAATTGGCTAAAAGGAGTAATATCATTAATAAGTCATGAGGTAATAACTTCTCCTATGTTTTTAATCACACACCCTTAAAGTATATGAGCTGACAAGTTCCCATCATAATTAATACCCTTCTTTGTACTAATTCTTTGTATTTTCTCCCTTGATACATCAAATTATGGAAACTTTTTCCATTATACCCACGGTTAAAAATGAAAGATTACTTCAAAGGATACAGCTAGTCCCTTATCACACCAAGTGATTGCTTCTTCAAATCTCTTCAATTCAACACAAGCAGTGGCTCCTGTAGGCAACAACACAAAGACGCATACTATTACTGTAGCTCAATTCTGAGAAAAGAACCTGAAACCATTGAAATCATTACAAACCAGAAGAAAAAAAAGACAAAACAAAACAAAACAAAAAAACTAAACGGAAAGAATAAACAGGCCCTATTAGGTTTCAGTTAAATTTATTTAGCTTTTAAGACAACTGAAACCTCTAAGAACACTTAAATTGGGATCAACAACTCCCACAAAAACACCAAGAGTTCGTTAAGTCCTGATCCTTCTTTTTAAACAGTTAGATAGGAACTTAAGAGCGTGTCCACGAGAGCACCGGGCAGTCGTGCTACATGCAACCTCACCGATTTCAATGAGACTTTGCCAGTCTAAAGGGTCTACTCCAAAACTAAAAAAAACAGACTGGTTTCTGTTTTGGTTTTTTCCAGGGGGAGAAAGACACCCCCTCAGTTTTTCTTGGTTTTCACCAAGGAAATCGCTTCAAATAGGTAAAATGTATGAAGCTCTCACTGCGATGGTATTTAACCGATTACTTTGAGAATTTGCACACATATTTTTACATCCTTAGTTAACGGCCACCGCGAGTATCAGTCAGTTTGATTGACGGCTTGTCAATCAACAGAGGCAAATATACGACTGTGTTTTTAGACTTTTCGATTCATCCAAATATTTGACAACTTTGAGGTCAAATATCTCCCGTTGCCAGAAAGCTACAACACTAATCTTAACTACCCTTTATAACGTATCATTTCATCTCTGAAAATCATCAAAAAAATCTTTGGGCACTACCGTATTTTTATCTTGGATGCCTTTTAAAATCTGCGACTGTGACAAGTTTCTCTCAACTACACCTGTCACGAAATTCTTGCTCTAGGCGGTCATTTGACAAAATAGACCTACACTTTTTAGCTCTTTATACAAGATGATTGATCAAGAAAGGTGAAAAATGTGAAAAACTTTCGAGATTTTTTGTAGGAATGGAAAATTTCACGTTTAGAGAGATACGTGTTGACGAAAAATCAATGGGAAAATCGTTGCGTTTCTTTCTTCAATCGTTTATTACTTTGAAGATTTACTAAAATCAGGACATAGGGCTCTTGTACAGAACAAAATATTCATTAGCCTATACTTTGATCATCTATTATCATTATCGCACAGTTTACAATAAGGAAACTGTAACAGGAGAGGAGATTTTAAAGTCACATGTCGCCTGCTTGTTGACGTACAAGTTCCCGAGTGTAACAACTTCAGCTTTTCCATACCGCGAATGACGGAAAACTCTGCCCCCCTTATTTGATAGGAAATATCAATAGCCCCATAAATTCATTAACAACGCCATGTTTCCAGAAAATAAGACTGTAAAATGTTTTTTTTACTTTCCACCATCAAGAAATTCCACGTATAGTAATAGTGTTTGTAGGGTTACTGCGTGACCTTTCATGAGAAGTAAAAATTGTTCATCTTTTTTTTTCAAGAAGACACTTCTAGAAAGTTCTTAATCCTTCTGTTATCTTATTTTCCTGTTTTTTGACCGCAAATATCATTTGCATTTGCTATTATTTTCGCTGATTGTCATGGCCTTTCCTCCGTGCACGTGCGAGCTAGTTCATATACAGGACTCTTTCGAGTTTCTCTGGGTGGTGTCAGGCTTAGGTGTGTGGGTCTGGTTCAAAAGATATCTGCACGCTGCAACACAGGTTCCTATGTTTTCTCCTTTTTCTTCATTTGGATTTCATTCTCTTGCTTGCATTATCACACATTTATGTTTTTTTATTCCCTCAGCGCGTTCCCTCAGATTTGGAAGTAGGCCATGAAAAGTCAATATTAACTGGAACTGGAATCCTTTTCTATCACTCTTTGTTTCAGAGAACCCCCGTCATTTGTGACTTTATTTCTCAAAAAAATGTGTTTTTATTTGCTATTTATTTCCATTAGAACATGAAACTAGGTCCTGATAAGTTTTTTTGTCTCGTGACTCCCAGAAACTGTGTTTGCGACAACATCAATTGAGAAATCAAAGGCAATTACGCCTGGGAAATTCGCTTGTAGCCTTCTACCCGCAGAAGGCAACTCCATGATAATGAAACGTTCTAAGACCTCTGTAAACTAGAGACATTGCGTGATGTTGAGGGGGAAATTTTTACACTTAATCTGTGACCCTCAAAAGGATCACGTACTCGTACATGTAACGTCCGGAAAACACCGTAGGCGCACCAGGCGAATTCTATCCACTGGCTTCAATAGCAAAGAGACAACTTATTTACTATTTGTATATGAGCAAGCTTATTTATCTTACTTGAAAAAATCCTTGATGAAGTCTACTATTGTCAGACGAAACGCGTGGGAGATAAATAAAAGTTTTTACTTTCTCAGTTCGTGCAGTGATGCTCACTAGTTTGTTCCGTCAAAAATGCTTTTAATGTGAAGTCACGTCGACCTCGACAGAAAAACTAAGCTCACCCTGTCATAATCAATGGTTTGATACCGTAAGTACCAATTTAGGTACATTATTGGGCTTTGATCACAATGATGAAAAAAATGTGCGTTTCCTCACGCTCGCCACGTTTATTCTTTGGAAAATTATTTTACTGGAGGGCGATGTCGCTTACCTTGGCGCGTCTTGACTCTGGCCGACGAAAATTATCGAGGTGAACTCCATGAAATTCTAGTCAAATGTTTTAAAAACTTTGTCTACCCTTGATTTGCACGCAGAAAAAAAAGGCAATTCCGAACGGTATTTCAAAACACTTTATACATTAGTCAATTTATGAACTGTTTCATAGCAGCCCGAGGAAAAAGAAAAATTGAAACAACCGGCGTATCGGTCAAATGAATTCCAATTTTTTCAACAAGGAGTTGGTAAGTTCATTTTCCTAGTAAATTTAGGTAGGGGTCATTTTTTTGTGACAGCCGATCAAAGATAGACATCTCTGAAACGTCTCTGAAACTCTTTTTAAAAAGAGTTTACACTTCCGGTAATATTTTCCTCCCTCTCGTAACAGCGCAACAGACATTGTTAATCCTTTGTAGTGTAGGTGTATCAGTTGTATTACGTCTTCATAGTGATTCCATATAAGAAATCGAGTGTCTAAAAAGCCCTCAATTCAATCTAACACTCGAATTGATAAAGTCAAGATGGTGCAGTTGTCTTGTTCATTTGCAACTAACTGTAGAACCAAATGTTATTTTTCTCGCGCTGGCCAGGGACGGCAACAGCTCATACCTCTAAATTCGTGGGTATACAGCTTAAAAAAAAACATTTGAGAAATGTCGATGTATCCCAAGCATGCGTTTCGTCCGAGATGGAGCTTATTCTAGCGCGTATTGGCTTATTTGGAGATTACGAAGGCCGCGATTTCACGATGTACCTCAAATATCGTGCACAACTTGGTGTGAGATTCATACTTTCGGGTTCGTAAATGCCAGTATCCTCCTCATAAAAATCGGAGACATAGAGTGAGAGAGAGATGAATCTGCAGATGGCAGAAGAAATCAAAGCTGGTGGCGAGTCTTACTGGTGGCGACAAGGTGACTGTAAACCTAAATAGAACGCGTACTGTAGCTGCTATCTTAGAGTCGGCAATGAATAAGGAAGAAGGGCAAGAAGAGCGCTTATCTGAACATCAGGGATACGCAGGTACTGTAGAGGCGCTCACATAGATAGAGGTGGGCGATCCTCCCTCTGACTTAAGAACTGCGACAAGTTTATAGCGCAGACCAACCGGCACGGTTTGAAGCACCTCAGGGTCTCACTAGGCTCATCAAATTAGAAACCTTCAGCAAACTAATCGTAGATTTCTGAACGCGGGTCATCGCGAGAACTATACCCAATCCGTCATAGACGGAACAAGAAAGCGAGATATTCTTGCTAAAAGAAGGATGTATCAAGTCGTTTCAGTCACTGGCTGTCATCCAAATGTACCCTGACAAAGACAAAGACAGTGAAGGTGACAAAAAAAATCCGTCTATGATAAGATCAAGAGGAAATAGACTAAGGCCGGCTTGCCATTCTATAGGGGATGGCTACGTTCAAGGTCGGACCTCAGGTAAAATTCTGACGAACAATCCCTAACTATCCAAGTGGACTTTGGATGGACTCTTTGGAAAACACCAAAATCAGCCACCTTTTCTCAGAAAGCAGAGAATTATCTCCTAGACGTGTGCTGGACAAGGGAGGAAACTAGTAAGGCAACCGCCTCTAATGTGACTTCCCAAATATCGAGTTTAAGAGACGACTTACGGGTTGATACAGCAGCAAATCGCTCGATACTTCAGCCGCTTATCTGCCGTAACAAAAATTGGTTTATTGATGAGGTCCCCCTCTGTAAATATGAATGAAGACGGAGAGCCCGATGCCAATGATCTAGCTTCAGAATTCGAAAGTGACCGAACAAGGCAGAAGATAAGGAGGGACCTTGCAAAATTTAGACGAAGACTGCAAGAGAGGGTACAGCTACTATTAAGCTAAAAAAAAAGACATTTTCTTTCATATTTGTTGTTTTTGCTCACGAAAACAACTGGCTATGTCTTGGGATTTCATCAAGGGAAATTTGCAGGAAGCCTACTCGTCAAATTACTGCTGGCTCATTCTTACTTAAAAATTTTACAATTAAACGTCGGCAACACTCGATCTAGAGAGATGTAGATTTATATGTAGTAATAGAATGCTTGAAAAAAATATCCAGATATTTACGATCGAAGCAGGCAAATAATCATAGAGATCTGCAGATTATTCTGAAATTGTTATCTAGCAGACAGCATGAACAACGCGCTTGAATAATTCCTACGGAGAGTCTTCGGGTCACACAACAGATGTTAGCTTAGCGGAGTTCTGCATGGAAATGTTCGATGGCGGTAAGTGACAATGACAACACTATTTTAATTTCATTTTCGGGATAGAAGCACAGTTTTTAGTCCGATAGAACTATTGATATTTGCTCTCAAGCGAGAGCGCAGAATTTCTCGTCTTTAAAAGCCGAAGTTGTAGCACACTGGAACATGTAGTAATATCAGCCAACACACAGCATATGCCTTTAAAATCTCCTAAAATGAGCAATGATGATGATAAACCATCAAATTATAGACTAATGAATGTTTTGTGCCGTACAAAAGCCATATCTGATGTTTTTAGCAAATCTTCAAAGTAATAAACGACTGAAGAAAGAAACGCTACGATTTTCCCATTGATTTTTCGTCTACATGCATCTCTCTAAACGTGAAATTTTCCATTCCTACAAAAAATCTCGAAAGTTTTTCACACTTTTCACCTTTCGTGATCAATCATCTTGTATAAAGAGCGAAAACAATGTAGGTTTATTTTGTCAAGTGACCGCCTAGAGCAAGAATTGCGTGACAGGTGCAGTTGAGAGAAACTTGTAACAGTCGCAGATTTTAAAAGGCATCCAAGATAAAAATACGGTAGTGCCCAAAGATTTTTTTGATGATTTTCAGAGATGAAATGATGGGTTATAAAGGGTAATTAAGATAAGTGTTGCAGCTTTCTGGAAACGGGAGATATTTGACCTCAAAGTCGTCAAATATTTGGATGAATCGAAAAGTCTAAAAACACAGTCGTATATTTGCCTCTGTTGATTGACAAGCCGTCAATCAAACTGACTGATACTCGCAAGAGAAATTAACCAAGGATGTAAAAATATGTGTGCAAATCCTCAAAGTAATCGATTAAATACCATCGCAGTGAGAGCTTCATACATTTACCTATTTGAAGCGATTTCCTTGGTGAAAACCAAGAAAAACCGGGGGGTGGTCTATCTCCCCCCGGAAAAAAAACCAAAACAGAAACCAGTTTGTCTTTTTGAGTTTTGGGTAGACCCTTTAAACTGAAATCGGTGAGATGGCATGTAACAGGACTGCCTGGTGCTCTCATGGACATGCTCTTAACATATCTGACACCTGTGACTCATTGAACTTAAGGAACTAAAATATTCATGCTGAAATTTTGCTTTACATTCCGCATTGAGTTCTTCATCCCGTTCAAAATAATATTCTCATCATGATTAATGGAAAGTATTGGCGTAACAGTCAAGAGCTGGATTCAAATGTACATCAGGGTGGTCTCGACCTCTTAATTAAACTCAATTGAGACAAGATTGAACTCCATTTAACCTCATTTAACCTTAGAGTGTTGAGTTCTTTTTTATTATTATTATTATAGCACAGCTAACATATCTAACCTCTCACAATTGCCTTAAGGAAAGTTGGATTTAACTCAATGGCTGCTTCTGCATCCCTTAGTGAATCCTGGTGATTTCCTGTTATTGAAATAAATATCTCTGATTAGCCATACATGTTGCAAACCAACTACCATTACTATAATTTTGGGAAAAACTTGTGATGCTCATTGATATCTGGGGTAAGAGGTTACTTCTTTGTATATTTGAGAGGCCAAGATAAGATGTAAATTTTTCCGGGCATGCATTCAAAATTATCACCTTTTTCAGAAAACTACTACTGACAACTCAATAGCTTCAAAATAGAAAAAAAATGCATATTAAAGCTCTCATCATCTTACCAAGTTTAAAATGTGCAATTGCCCTGTTGTTGTACAGTTTGGCCTTCAGTTCTTTGTCATTGCAGTTCATTTTAATTCCTTTGGTGTAATAATGAATAGCATTGATGAAATCTCCTTTCTTGAAGGCCTCATTACCCTCATTCCTATAAACATCAGCTGTGGCTGCAAAGAAAAAATAAAATAATTCGAAAAAAAATTAAAAAATGGGTGTCAAAGTCTGTGGTCGTAGTTAATAATTATTCGTGTATAGTCAGAGCTGCCAAGATCTGGAGATTTAAAATCTGGAGATTTAAAATCTGCAGATTTTCAATAGTTATGATGATGCTAACAATGTAGGTGACAACATGGGTAAGAATAATGATGAGAATTATAAGCATCACTTAATTCGAGGCAAACCCCTGGAGATGAGAGATTTTGGAGATAGGTTTCCTAAAATTCCTATTCCCTGGGAAAAATTAATAAAATGTTCAATTGCCCCACACAATATTATGTAAAAGGCGAAATAATTAGCAATTTCACTTTCAACTAATTGATCAAGCTTTAAAAACTAATTGACCAAGCTTTAAAACCTAGACCTTGAAGCCTTATTTCTTCTGAGCCATTTGTTAGTGAAAGTACTCTATCTACCTTAAACACCTCCATATTCAATGATAATTAAGAGGCGATCTCTGTAAGAGCGGTTCAGGGCATTTCGCATCGGAAAAAAGGTTTTCCCTCAAACTTTTCCCAATAAACTATCTTTGGTAATAAGTAAATAAAAGCACATTAGTTTCTGGAAATACGTTAACATAAAATTTTTAGAGCTCTCAAAAGTCAAAGCTGCAAAAGGCCCTTTTTTGACCTCTTGCGACATCGAAAATTTCAAAAGTTGAATAGCCCGGTCCTCGTATCACACCGCATGCAGCAAAAAATATTTTGTATTCTTAAAGTGTGTGATATATAAGGTGTATAAAATGCATTTCAATTTTGATATTCGTTTATTCAGAGGCTCGTCAAAATTTATTTAAAAACGCTCGTTGAACAGCTTTCTGAAATTGGTTAAAAGTACTCTCTCTTTCTTGGTTGATATTGCTCAAGTCCAGACCAGACCATTAAAAACTCCGCTTGATTTCTGCTAATAAGATGTTTGGCTGCAGAAAAATATAAAAACATCTTGCACTTATTGATTTTCTTCGCCGAGGTGACTTCAAACTTTTAGCGATATTGCTAGCGTGACAGCCGATTATGCAAATTAGTTCATTGAGCAAACTCCGACCGTTTTATATGAGTAGCTCAATAAATCTTAGATTTTAACCATTTTAAGTAGAAAATACAGTAGGACAAAGCTTTAAGACCACACTGATTAATACTTTAAGCTTTTCAAAAGGCCAAAATTTGACAATTTTTAATATCTCGTGACGAAAGACGTCAACAACAACGTATCGAATATCATAATTTGATTAGCGCTCGCGAACTCTTTTTTAAAAATTTGGCTTCTGTTATTTCACATTTGAGTTCTGATGGCTTACGCTATTCAAACCTGTATGAATATTTCAAAACCAAACTACTGGATTCTATTTAGTGTAACCGGCGATAACAGCACACACAGAAATACAGAAATACACCGTGACCATTGACTCTGTCACGTAATTCCATCGTGTAATTGTCCTGAATACTTCTCACGTCTAAATAAAGCAGCGATTGCTCGGATTTCTAGCTGAAAGGGAAAAAAATGATATTTGGTCGTCACGCCTGTCTGCATAACAGTCCCTTCTCATAAGTTTGAAGAGTTCTTGTGAAAAAGGATATTGCATTTGCATAATTAACGGGTGGACGTCATAACTAGATTGCATAACATCTGCACTCCGAAATCATTTCCTCCATTTTTGCAAGAGGTGCTGCATTTGTATCTTGCATTTTGAATGCGAGCTCAAAATGTTTGCACATGTCTCTTAGCATCTTGACTTTGAGGCTAGGCAACCTTGCTTCTCTTGCCACGAGCACACGTCATAGATATCAAACATGATTGGATGTTTCAATCCTATCTCATCCATTACTGTGTTCCTCGCCTCTCTCTGAAACCTACCCAACTGCATTGTGTACTCAGAAATAGCGCCTTTTACTCATTGAAAAATACTCTTCAGCTTCTCACAATCCTCACACCTCACGTTGTGACTGTGACTGCATACTTTCTGAACGTCAGTGTCACCAGCATGGCTCAGTGCAAAGACCCTACAGTGATCGGCACATTTTCTATCTTCCTCTTCGCAGTGATTACGGTATTTAGTCTTCAAATACAACCTGCTCTCCTAAAGCCTCTTCCCAACTTCTTTACGCTAGTCCTTTTCTGCTACCACGCTTTCCAATTCGTCTATAATTTGGAGAAAAATCTTTGAAACCATCCGCTCCCTCAGCTGCAGTATTGTCTAAACCTCTATAGAACGCCATACATCTTAGAAATGGCCTTTGACATTTGCAAATTGACAGAATACCGGCTCTTTACCCATTTGGAATCACTACCAGGGTGTGTCGGATACTGGCACGCTGAACTTTGGCGCCAGAACTTCCCATAAGTGTGCCTATGCTTTGCGCAGACTCACATTTTGCCATAACTGAGTCTTCTACATCGAACAGGCCAGCCCTTGCAAAGATAAGCTCTCCTTCTTTGAAACTCTCTTTTGACAAAAGGATTAAGCAGAGATGACTCTTTATTGAGTCAGTACTCTGAGGCAAGTTAAACAAACCGGAAACTCCTCGTGAGTCTCCGAACGAAGTTTCTGAGGAACGCAACTGAAAACAGGACTTCTTGTGGCGAATACCGCTTCAAGAATTTTTTGTTATTAATCCCAAGCAAACCAGTACCGAAAGAGACATATAAATTACAGCTAATAAAATTACGCGCTTTAAGATATAGATATAGCTAATTGTTGGAAAAATGAGGTGACACGTAACGTAATAATTTATTTCCTCAAAAATCGCGGGGTCCTTTTCCACAAGAACTCTCTAGAGTACTGAATAGAAACTTTCATAAAGACCGGTGTGCAGACAAAATTTCTCTTATTTCTGCCGACCAGAATTCTGATCCAAAAGGCGATGTTATCGCTGCTTTATTACGAAGGGAGAAGCAATTCAGGATAATTATACAATTGAATTATGTGACAGTGGTCACGGTGTATCTCAGTGTGTGCTGTTATCGCCGGTTACACTAAATAGAATCCTGTAGTTTGGTTTTGAAATGTTCATACAGGTTTTAATAGCGTAAGCTGTCAGAACTCGAATATGAAATAACAGAAGCCAAATTATTTAAAAGGGGTTTGCGAGCGCCAATCAAATTATGATATTCGATACGTTGTTGTTGACGTCTTTCGTCACGAGATAATAAAAAAGGTCAAAATTTAGGCCTTTTAAAATGTTTAAGGTACTAATCGGTGTGGTCTTAAAGCTCTTTCCACTATATTTTCTACTTTATTTTCGACTTATAATGGTCAAAAGCTAAGATTCATTCAGCTACTCACATAAAACGGTCGGAGTTTGCTCAATGAATAATTTGCATAATCGGCTGTCACGCTAGCAATATCGCTAAAAGTTCGAAGTCACTTCGGCGAAGAAAATCAATAAGTGCAAGATGTTTTTATATTTTTCTGCAGCCAAACATCTTATTAGCAGAAATCAAGCGGAGTTTTTAATGGTCTGGTCTGGACTTGAGCAATATCAACCGAGAAAGAAAGAGTACTTTTAACCAATTTCAGAAAGCTGTCCAACGAGTGTTTTTAAATCAATTATGACGAGCCTCTGAATAAACGAATATCAAAATTGAAATGCATTTTATACACCTTATATATCACACACTTTAAGAATACAAAATATTTTTTGCTGCATGCGGTGTGATACGAGGACCGGGCTATTCAACATTTGAAATTTTCGATGTCGCAAGAGGTCAAAAAAGGGCCTTTTGCAGCTTTGACTTTTGAGAGCTCTAAAAATTTTATGTTAACGTATTTCCAGAAACTAATGTGCTTTTATTTACTTGTAACCAAAGATAGTTTATTGGGAAAAGTTTGAGGGAAAACTTTTTTCCGATGCGAAATGCCCTGGACCGCTCTTACAGAGATCGCCTCTTAACACTTGTACTCTACTGGAAATTAGATGTGACAGTTTTTATTCAAATTCCCTAACGCCAGTCAGGCAGATTTAGCCCCCTCCCCCCCCCCCGCCCACCCTCTTTGGCTTGGATGAAGATCAAATGCCTGTGGGTTGCTCGAGGAGAAAGGAGGGAATGTTGAAGGTTTCAAAGTGATTATGTTTCATTAACTAGAAAGATGATGGTGATGATGATGATGATGGTACCTATGATGCAAACTTACAATGGATGTTATATGATGATCAAATAAAGTCTTAACTTATTATAACTTTGTGTTATTTCTTTGAACTGTTAGAAAAGAAAATAGCAAAAGTTTCTGTGTCATAGATCTTCTCAATGAACAGCATATTGTAATCATAGAAGAGAGTCATGACTGGCCAAATATCCTTTAAAGTGGTCATACATTGTATATATCCTTTTCCACATCTGCTTGCATTCTTGAAACTGATCGAATAGAAATTGCTCTAACAATAACTGAAGCCGAAGTTGAACCTAGCTCACCTCGTAAAGTGTCCTCGTCAAAATCTGGTGCATTTTCTCTGTCGGGTAAGTCTTCATTTTCACATGGAACTTTAATTGAACTTCTTCCTGTAGCCATAGCAACTGTTAGAAGACTGATGCTTCTTAAAAAGTTGTTCTTTTAAGTCATCCTGGCCTGAAAAAAAGGTGATTGAAAATGGTTGTAAACATCAGTTCAACATATTACCCAGTAGCAAAATAAATATTATTTCCCTTCTGAGAATGGGAGAGATACATAAACACAAAACCAGAAGCCAATTAAGAGCTAATGTCAACATGCATCAGACAAACAGCGGCAAGTCGCCCAAATTCGTTTTCTCTCCTACTTTTATATTTTGTAGCCCAATATGTCCCGATAATTGTGGTGTAGGTTTTTTTGTGAAAATATATTTTAGTTTTTGAGAAATGACTTTTTTTCGTTCGACCGCTCAAATATGCAAATTTTCACTCTGAATATTACCCGAGTTGTGTGACCTCATGTAACGAATTTACTTGACCTCCGGTATTTCTGTCGACATAATCCTTTGTTTTATCATCTAAACTTAATCCCCTGACATTATTGAGGCTGGCACAAAAATATTTATTTTTTGGTGAATATTTTTGTCCGACATACTTTTTCTATGTCGAAAAGTAGCATCAAAACAAAGACAGTTTTAACAATGACCAATAAGACAGAATCTACTGAGCTTCTAGCTTTTAAAATAAAAAAAGGATGGTTATAAGGTTACTATAAAAATTTTCTTGTGTAATTGTGTTGTTCTATCGTGAGACGAACTCAAAGTCCGGCAAAATTTATTTGTTAGCGACTATGAAATATACATGGTGTGTCTATTTGTCGCCACCTTTTATTGGAATATGGAGGCATAAATCGCTACAATTTGAAAAAAAATTTAACTTAACAGTCTTACCTAGTTTATTTATGATTATCTTGCATGTCAACGTGGCATGAAATTCATTTCATTCCGGAATGAAACCCATTTTGGAATAATGTAAAAAGTACCTTATTGACGGACCATTAGATTTTTGATGCGGGGGGGGGGGGTCTTTTGCCAATTGCACGATTTGTTTTCTTCCATTAAGCCCGTGCTCGATTTTTTCGGGGGTTATTGCCCAACATCCCAATACTCCGCCCCCCCTCCCCCATCAAAAATCTAATGGTCCGTCCCTAAGATGCTATCAGGTCCTACAACTTTTCCTGTGATGAAAGAATTTGGATATATATGTATTACTCGCGTTGTTGTTGTTGTTTTTTTTTTACATTACCGAGCGAATTTCAAGTGATAATTTCAGGAAGTAAGAAGCAACAACAAAAGGATTCCTATCAAAGTGAGGTGCCATTTTCAGTTATACCTGATCGGACACCTTGAAAACAAAGGGTGACACGCAAGCAGTTTACTGCATATTTGACATGAAAACTGTTCGTGGATCTTGACAGGAAAATGAAAGATCCTTAAAGATCTTGGCAAGAAAATGAAAGATCCTTGAAGATCTTGACAAGAACTTTGAAGATCCTTGAAGATCCTGGCAAGAGAATGAAATATCCTTGAAGATCTTAAGAAGAATTTTGAAGATCTTTAAAGGTTCTCATAAAGATTTTTTAGGATCGTTAAAGATCCTTCAAAGATTTTCGCCAGGGATGTGTCACAACAGGGCAAAAAAATACAGAAAGCGCTCGCCGCATCGGCACTTTTTTTTCGTTGTTTTGGTAGCCACTTTGGAAATTTAGCCAGGCATTTTAAGGTAGGTATTTCAAATGTGATTTATTATAGTGTACACGTAAATACGCCAGTCGTAAAATCAGCAGTCCACTGTTTGCAACTCAGTGTCAATTATCATGATAATATGCGAAACTTTGTTCGACCATTTCCGCTTGCTGACAAGTCTTTCCACTTGATACAATTTTACCCCGGGTTTATATTCCCTTTTGCCTTTAGAAGCAACAATAATCTACACGATCTTTACTTCTTACCGATCGCACCATGTTGTTTTTGCAACCACACCTTCGGGCATGCTCCGTAGAACTTTGAGTACACCACAGTCAGGAAGTATAGCATTAACGAAATGACTCGGATTAATTGTAATGTTTTCTTTCTTTCATATTGGACTATTTCCTTCTGTCATTTCAAACTAAACTAATAGATAAATATTCGCCACCCAAAATGCCTTCAATGAAAATCACCAACGGGTAGCACGTGGTGCACTCATGATTTTATGTGGAACAAACAAATGCAATTAAGCAATTTCATTTCAAATTTTCGTTAAATTTCCGACTCGAGTTATGACGAACAAGAACGAGGAGCATGTGGTTCACTCGTTAATTTATGTAGGACAAAAAAAAGAGTAAAGAAGACGATCATTTATTCCAAAATCTATGTACGAGCTGGATTTAGGCTTATTTTCATTTTCCACAGGTGTGCTGATAAATATTCAATTACGCTGTGTTCTTAATTAAACCTACATTTTTTCAAAAGAAGTCAAATGATACGTTAAAGAATTCGTTTTTTGATTTGTCGCCATAAATTTTTCTCTGACTGAAAATATCTGCCAAGTTTTTTATCATTTAATAAGCAAGGAGCGTTTTACATCTTCCCCTCGAAACATATGTTTGTGACAACTGTTTCCTCTTTCAATTTCTATAATGCTAACAGGATGTAACACGTAGACGGTAGTTTATAATCAAAATAAAAAGGAAAAAGGCTTCAGATTATCTCGTAACACTCAGTTTTCTCGGTTCTCACAAAATATTCTTCTAAGAAATAGAGTAAGCAGGGACACAGCACTTTAGATCGATAAAATTTTCATAACTTGCTCTTGTCTGCGATCATATGGTCCAGTGTGTTGTTGCCGGCTCACTTTGCTGAAAGACCTATATGAAACCAAGACCCCACGCCTCATACCGGATTGTCTATATTTTACAATGTAATAAGTTTTTCTTTGTTAATACAAACTGGCAATGTTACTGATGGAACACTGCGAGTGGGTGAGACAAAAATCCACTTGGTCTAATTAATCATTTCAGAGCTTACCTTAAAACGACGTTTCGTCAGCGATGCAGCGTTGAATTCGTCCTTAAGAACCTGTTAAATTTGTAAAATTTTGCAAGACCGAAGATATTTCGATGAGTTCTTCAGAAGGTGACTTATAACACGAACGGTGTCGAGAAGGTACTCTTTTCCTAGTGATCTCACGACGTAGGAATATTTTGATTTTACTCCTCTGAAATTTAGCTCGTGATAACTTAGAAGCAACGCTTCGAGCTGGGGATGGCAAGCGTTAAAAATTTCTCGCTGCCACCAAAGATTTTCACTCGACCGCGACAGGATGCAAATGACTCACTTTTTGTTTTACGACCATACTGATGTTTTTACCATTGCGTGACATTCTCAGGAAAACCAAAAGTTGATGATACATTGTTAACTTTCCCGAGGAAATGAGTCATGAATAGTGAATAATACCCGGGCGCGCGTAAATGTGAATTTGATTGGTGAAATACAATTCAAACACGTAAAAAATTGACTAATGTTCGTGTAGTGCAATGACTGGGTATGTTCTAACGGACTTCGGACGCTGTTTTAATGGTACGTGATGGGATGTGAGTTTTTAGGCATGTAACAAAAAAAGAGCATGACTTTCAGACGGACGAAAATATCGCGCTACTTCACCTTGAGAGAAAAAAAAACTTAACTTATCTGAACTCACACCACAGGCAGCCCAAGCTCCAGCTGTGAGATGGTCATCTTGCGAAATAAGATTCAAGGTGATTTTTTCGGATTTTCTTTATCTGGCGGTGACATACCTGAGTATTTTTAGGAGCTGTGCCGTATTTTGACTTCCCCCACAGGCTCGTCGAATTCAAACAAGGAGTGAAAATACTAGGGAATACTACACACCAATGAATAGTCTACTAGGTTATTTATGATCCAACTACTTTTTTTTCCGCCAAGTCTTTCTGCTCATTTCTCATAAGGTGGGAAAAGCAAAGTGGATAGAGACGCGCAGCGTGCGCAGCCGGCCGGTTAAACAGATTTTTTTACAGTAATAAAATAACCAACTGTACAAATGTGGTATATACATTTTTTTTTTTTTTTTTGAGAGGGCACGGTAACGAATCTTGCAATCTGATTGGTTCCTTACCCAGTCAGTATTTTCCTTTCTCTGCCCACGGGCCACGGTAACGCTTTCGTAAGTCGCCAAGTACATCCCAACTTTCGTTGCCATTTTTCATAAATATATCTCGTTTTTCCGGCTGGGCAGTATTTTTGAGCAAACACGTCGGTCACTACCTCAAGCCGATGAATAACTTATGAATCCTCCCTTTTCTCTCTATCAAATCACTTTGGTTGACAGAAAAATATTGGTTTCGGAATAAATTTGTATAAACAATAGTGTCATTACGTTGGTTGGCAAGCGGCCTAAAACCCGTCTGCAATTAATTTTAATCGTTCACAAAAAGTACCCAGAAAGTTATAACGAGAGGTAATTGGTTACAGTTAAACTGAACGATGGAATTTTCATTCATCTAATACCTGAATTTTCTCAAGCAATTTGTTCGCAGTGAAAGAGCGAGCGAAGTTTTAATTTACGTTCTACATCAAATAAACGCTCTCGGTGAGTCTTTCCAAGTCCGTTCAATTTGAACATCTGTACCGTAAATTGCACAAAAGAAACTGAAGAAATTTTTTGAGAAAAGGCCGCATTAAATCCCCTTGTGTCTCGTTGGAGTGTGCCATTCGAATTTAGTTTTTGTGAAGGAAAGACCAGATTTACACACGTCATTGCAGCAAACAATCGAGCAAACTCTCACAACTTCAAAATAAAAAAAAATTGAATTTACTCACAATTACTTTCCTCGCCGTTTACTTAATGAACAGAGGTAAATCTTCGTATATGAATGAATCGTCGATGAGAGTGAATAATACTTTCCGTTAGATCATTGACTGTTTTTGAATAAAACATTGTCGTGACAGTCCTTGCCAAACTAGTTCCGTTGTTTTTCAAATGTTCTTACACTTTTTTTTACTTACGCGCTCTCTAATTGACAGCTGTCAGATTGTGACAGATAGTTGTAAAAATAATGTT